ACAGCTCCGAAAAATCTTCAAAGCGCACCACATCAACCACTTTGGCAAACCTTTTCGACTGCTTCTAGGATGGGTACAATGTTGTCAAACTGCATACTACTAGATTGACCTCTTTTCTGATTGGCTGCCAAGTTTCATTCATATCCATTCACGAGAAGCGGCGTGAGAGTGAGTTGAAGACAACAACCTTTGCGTTAGTGCGTCCCACGAAACACCCCCGCTGCGGGGGCCAAAAATCGGCAGAACAAAACGCGCTCGGTGGGCATTGCTATGTAAGGAAATCAGCTGTGTAGCTTGAATTAAGTAGAGGTTATATACACATGTGACTTCAGTAACGCATGGAGGAAAAGTGGTATTGAATAACTGTTAATGAATTTTATCTGTACTAAGTATGATTTGTAGCTATGTGCTTGAACAGGTAGATTTGTAATACAAAGGGGGGAACTAGTTGTCCAGAATAGCTTTCACTGAATCTCATCTGTACTGTACATGATTTTAAGCTCTGTACATAAATTATGATAGTAAATGTTTGACATTAAGAAAAAAAAACTTCCATTAAATATCACCTATAATTTTAAGGCTTGTGCACGCAAGAGAAATTAATTACATAGGGAGGACAGGACAAAGTGCTAAGAGTAACTTCCGTTGAATTTTGCGTGGACTGTATATGACTTGGCTATGTGCACAACTTGTAAATTTGTATGCAACAGAGAGAGGAAGGTTGAGAATCTCACCTGTAATGTACATATTTAACAGAAAGATGTTTAGAATAGTTTGGAGACAACAGGGTGTTAAACGTCCATTGAATCTGCCAGTGTACTTCCTCCCAATATGAGCTTCCTTATTTCCCCATACATGTTTTTTATATTTTTTTATTACGGGAAGGGAAAATGTCCATTAAAGTGCATCTCTGAATTTGTTTTTCTCTTACATTCATACTTATGACAAAACTTATTTACCTGTCAATGAAGGAGTATTGAGAAGCAAATGTTAAATTTTCAAATGTTAGCAAACATATATGGCTCTGATTGTAATGTGGAAACTCTCATTTTGAAGAAAAATGTGATTAATTTAAACAGACCACTTCTCCGAAAGGTTTAATGTATTGTTTTCCTCCTTAACCTCTTGTATTGCTGCCGACCTACAGAGAACCCTAATAAAACTGGATTTCTCTCGTTTTATAATTTGCCTATCGAAAGACAGATTGATTTTGGATAAAAATCTTTTTTTTTTTAAACTGCTTTGGTTAAAGATAATGTGTGATTGGTAATCATTTATGGAAATCAGTAGTTTCAAGGACAGCTGGAAGGTCCCTTTTTTTCCTCTTTTCACTCTCTCTTCCTTTGTCTATGGTTCCTTTTCTTTCCGTTGGGCCTGCATGTTTTACCCTGGACGTTTTCAAATTCTGGCAGTAATGTGTATTTTCTTGATGAGAATCATGCTGTAGCCTTTTGGTGGAACACATTTGTGAAATATTTGGATTTGTTCCCAAAAGTCTCACCTTCCACTGCTATTTTGTACTGACTTCAATATGTAATCAATGATACAGGATTACGAGAACTGACAAAAGCGGAAGTATATCCTTTCACAAGTTAATGCAAGTTAGGGTTGAGGTCTCCTAATCTGCCATTTCTCACTCCTTGCTTTTAGGGAGTCAGAAGCATCAAATGATGCACAATGCTGTTTTCAGTGAAAGATCTTGTCACAGGGTTTGTGAAATGCAATATTTTCCCATTTTTTAGCCATTTGGTGATGTTATCGGAAGTAGATTAGTTCCTGTACCAGATTAGCCTCTTGAATTGCTGCACGTTTTTGTCATAAGTTCTTACAGGCTCATTTTATTTGCTTTTTTACCTTTTGTGCGGAAGGTGGGGGGGGGGGGGGGGTGTTGGAACAGCAGTTCATTTTATTTGGCAGGGGTTTAGCCAAGTCTTTGCCCCCCCTGGTCATTGGGAAGATTTTGAGAAATTCTGCATTTTGTTTATCAAAGGGTTAGCAGGTCTTTTTTGAAAACTGATGCCTGTTGCCTTGAACAGGCAGCTTGGGGATTTCTAAGTTACAGATTTTTATTTCAAGTATATTCATTATTCTGTTAATGTTTATTTGCTGCGTTGATTTGCCAGTTTATATTGTTGTTTTATCTTTAGGTAGGGATGCTTATTGTACTATTCAGTGCGTACCAATCCTATTATGATTGCTATCAACTTTTGAAACAGGTGCCATTATTTTGTCGATAATATGCAGGTCTTTAAGCCAGGTTCTATTCGTTGGAAGCACTGTTTTGATACATGGGTCTGTAGCAGCGTCCTTGCGTCTATGGTATTATGGTAAGACTCTTCTCCGGGTACACAAAAGATGTGTATTTGATTCCCATGTAGGGGTCCTTTTTTTTGTGGGTTGTATTCAACACTAGCTGGTTTTGAAAAACAGGTTTGACGCAGCCTATTTCTTAAATGATTGCCTTCCAAATTAATTTCCATGAGGGTTTTAACAAATTTTCAAAATTAGGAGTGGTGGAGTGGGAGATAAGATGAGTTTAGGGGATTAATTGTTGCTGGGATGTGGCGTTTGCCAACTGTTAACTTTCAGGTTTCGATAGGAGTTGAATATAAACAAGCTCATTTCCTTTATATGATTTGTCCTATAAGAGACATATAAACATTCTAAATATTGATATGATACTTTCCGAATTTGTTTACATGTGATATTTATACCAAAGAGATATTATCTACCGTTATGTCTTTCACTAGTATTTTGCCTTTTGTGGACTCTTTACATCCACATGAACTTTCTACAGTTTTTCTCTGTGATAAGTTGAGAGTGACATTCCCTGCTCTTTTTGAGGGCGTGCTCTGCGGTGTGTTTGTGTGAGTGATTTTCGGTGAGATTGTGAGAGAATCGTGCGCTGCGGTGTGTTTGTGTGAGTGATTTTCGGTGAGATTGTGAGAGAATCGTGCGCTGCGGTGTGTTTGTGTGTGTGATTGTCGGTGAGATTGTGAGAGAACCATTCGCTGCGGTGTGTTTGTGTGAGTGATGTTCGGTGAGATTGTGAGAGAATCGTGCGCTGCGATGTGTTTGTGTGAGTGATGCTTTGCGAGTTTGTGAGAGAGACGAGCTCTGTGATT